CATAAGGCGACGGTGAAGTCGGAAAAGGCAAATATCCTTTCTATGTGAACTCTATCCCTACATGCGCTGATAACTGCGGTAATAAGCTTGGTGAGTACTAATATTGCGCAAAGCTCTAAGCGCGCCAAGAGAGACAACCTTACGGGGAGAGAAACTCTCGACTTAGAACTAATGAGGCTAATCGAATTTCTACCATTATTCTGAACGTGGAAATATACAACGCCCCCGTAAGCCTTCTCGCTGGCGTCTGCAAACCCAACGACCGTTATGACGCTATTTCTATCTACGTTTATATGATGCGGTATTTTAATTTCTCTTAGTAAAGGAAGTTCCTCTCTAAAACGCTGCCACAATCGAACAATGCTGTCAGGCGGCGAGTCATCCCAATCGCATTCAAATAACCAAAGTTGTTTAATCAAAAGCTTAGCGTATAATACCACCGGAGCTACGAAACCCATGACGTCCCATAATCTAGCAACGCATGACAGTATTGTGCGCTTTGTGCATTTCTCTACGGGCGGATTTACCTTAAGGCTAAACACGTCGGACTCTGGTGACCAACACAGACCGAGCACCTTGTGTGTATCGGAATCGTCGAATTCCTTTATCGCCGAAAGACGGTGTGATAGTGGGATTGTATCTAAAACCGGACGCGAATTACTAGTCCACTTCACAAGATCGAATTGACCCGATTTCATGAGCTTTATAACCTCGGCGGTGGTTAGGGTGGCCTCCTCCACGCTATCGACCGAGTATACAAAATAATCCATATATAAACCGCTCTCAATTGCCCTCTTAGCTTTAGGGTAAGAGGGACCTTCATCGTGGGCGAGCTGTCTCACCGTGCGTAACGCATGAAATGAGCTCGACTTTAAACCAAAACAAACGCGGTTAAATTCAAACACCATTAGAGGTTCCTTTGGGTCGAAACGATATAAAATGCGTTGGAATCTACGGTCGCATTCACGGACCCCTATGCAAAGAAACATTTGGCGAATATCGGTGGATAGTGCTATACTAAACAAACGAAAATTGGCTATTATATTAAATAAACTGCCCTGTAAATTTTGCCCACTATAGAGGCTATCGTTAAGCGACAGGTGAGTGCTAGTTTTAGCACTAGCGTCGAGCACTACACGTAACTTAGATGTAAGTTTGTCCTCCCTAATGACCCCGTGGTGTGGTATGAAATACGACGGTGTGTCTTCGTAGTTATCTAATTTCGAAGCCACGAGTGATATGTAACTTCTCTTATATATTCGTTAATGACGCCGTCGTAAGCTTCCTTTAACTGGGGTGAAGCGAGCTCGCTCCAAGCTGTAGAAACGTTTTTCCGCCATTTGGCGCGATTCGCCGAGAGATAAAACATCTCCTTTAAAGGGTAGCGCTACACTATATCTACCGTCGCAATCACGAACGGTCGTGCGGACGTAAATTTCCTCGCATAACCTGTCATCTAAGCTAGCTATGGGTGGGACGTTCACCTCCTCCATCTCCCAAAATTTGCGGACTAACGATTCGAGCGGTTCGACAGCCATACCACAATAAGAGGTTGCCGAAATACTATCTATGATGGGGGCGGAGCCAATGATAACATAGCCCAATACGGTTTCTAGTGCGTAAGGCGCGGTATGCGAGGAGTTGCCCCTGACCTTATTGTTTAACAAAAGATGAGGGAAAAGCGATGCTCCAATGAGCATGTCTATGTTTCCAGGAACGGCGTAAGTGTCGTCCGCTAGAATCAAATTTTTAAATTCAATCATTGCCGAGGTGTCAACCGAAACGGTTGGCAACCGTTCAGTGACCCTATCCACTACTAGTGCATTTATATCAAAGTTAACATTACGATCTATCCGAGAATAAAATTTTAAATTTATATATCCCTGGGTAGCTTTACTAGTACCTCCGATGCCTTTGACTACAGGACATGAAAGTGACCTATTTATTACTAAGCCTAAGCGCTGACAACATTGTCGTGTTATAAAGCTATTTTGGGCTCCGCTGTCCAGCAGTGCACGGACGCTTTGTTCGTTTCCACGCGAATCCCTAACCAAAATACGCGCCGTACCCAGTAACACGGTTGAAGGAGGTTGTGCTCCCATATTTGCCAATGAGCACAGAGCGACATCACCAGGTCGACCGCTAGAATCGTTGACTTTAGTAGGGGGTGAATTCCTTATCCGCTTTACTTGACGCCGCTATGTTGCTATTTTCAAAATGTAATAGCGTGTGATGTTTCCTGGCGCACTTGCTACATACGGAACTCGAATTGCATTTTGCAACTAAATGCTTATCGCTTAAGCAGTTCAAACATAGGTTGTTTGTCTTTACTAATTTATAACGTTCGCTTGGTGAATATTTACGAAAAGTCGTACAATTATATAAATTACCGTGTTTGTCTTTACATACGATACAAGTATGCTGAAGTGATGTTGACGTAGCGGTTACGTACGTTAACGACCCTGCTATTTTAGATGGTTGAGTCTGTCTACGGTCGACGCCCCTTTTAATCTCTTGTTTAACGTTCGGAGAGCGCTGCATCACCTTTATTTGATCTCGCACGAACGATGTTAAGAATGAAAGGAAGGCATCTCCGAGCTACGATGCTCCATTTCAAACGCACGCACGGTGTCGGGGTCTAATTTCTTTAGTGCAATATGGAGAAACACCACGTCCATAAGGTCATTAAATTTCAAATTCTTAAGTGCAGCCACCGATGCCACAAATTTATCTAGAAACTGCTCTAAGCCGTTGATGTTCGCGGATGATATAGGTTTAAGATCGAATATCTGGTTCAAATATTCGGAAGCTAACATTCTCCTATCTTCATATTTAGTTTTAAGCGTTTCGAATATTAATAAGTAATTGTTTGCTGTAGGTGTAAAACCCGAGCAGATCGACTGTGCCCTGCCACTAAGTTTACTAATTAAGTAATATAATTTTTCAGCGTCCGATAACGATGGGTTATTGTATATATTGTTTTGAAAACTACTGAAGAAGAAGGGCTACGTCTTAATATCACCATTGAATACCGGAATATCTACTGGCGGCAACCTAATTGAGTCACGAGGACGTACCTGTAATTCCGGCTTTGCTTCGCTTTGAGATTGTAGGAGTTTTGCCGTTCTTTTCACGCGACACAACATATCTTCGAATGCCAGCAGCGGTTGGTAGTTCACTATGTATTTCGGGTCGATTTGTAATTCCTAAATGATTAATTTGGTCTAATATTCTTTCGTAATCCGTCCGCAAAGAATCCACCGTTTCAATTTCATTCAGAAAAGTTTCCCGCACCGCTTCTACATTAATGTTCTTTACGTGATCGCTAATGCTTTGTATACGTGAAAAAAGTACGTCCCTCTTGGCATAAAGCGTTTTAATTTTAAATTCATTTCCACTAACTGCCATTTTAAATTATTATAGTGAAGTTATATTAATCACAATTAATCTCACACGCATAAACGATGGACGATGGACACTCGGTATGCCGTATTACGTAATTAAATCGAACACCTGTTACAGTCGAGGCGACGCGTTGCTCGCTAAAACTCAATATTTTTATCAAGATTGTCGGGTAAGCGTACCAAACGGTTGCTATCACACTGTTTCAATTTTAAAGCTTTAAATTTAACCAAATACGAGCGCTATGAAATAAACAATTCTGTTTGCGAGTGCCTAATCAAAATTTAAATTTAAACGAACACTATTTACACTATTTACGAACACTAATTATTCGACCAGAAAATGGTTGGATGACCACTAAACACCAGTACAAATCCGGCTCGAAGGACCGTAAAATGGTGGAGCCACGTGTCTAAGGTTGCCGAAGTCTAATTCCCCGGTCGAACCTTAAAACCTATTACGCGAGCTATTAATCTAAGTGGACTGTATCTACAAAATGCTTCTACACTTATATATGCGGTACAATGCACTCGCTCTTCCCTAAAAACGAACTATTATTTGCCAAATCGATGAAAGGAATCCTGCTTGATTAGGAAAACACAAAATTGGAGCGGGTTAAAACATTATATCAAGCGTACTATTAGGAAAATGTTGACTCACCGGGATGTTTCTTCTATGCGGTCGAGCACTATAACTGCGACTTCTGGAACCTCTTCTGGACAGACACTCTGGGGCCCCAGAGATACGTCGGAAGAGAATCGGTGTGGTTTCAACGGCGAGCGCGACGGGAAGAGGAGCTCTTTAGGACACTATTATCCTAGGCGGTGTGGTTTCAACGGCGAGCGCGGCGGGAAGAGGCCTCGCGTCGGGCGCGCGTGCCTTATATATCCTCGGTTCCGATGATTACGTGATGTTCTAGAATCATCTTCTTTCCCCTCCCACCCCAGCACCCCGATGTGTCGATAGGAGGGTATGAATGATATCGTTTTGGAAAGGGATAACCGATTTGGCAGCCTACCGTCAAATAAAATAAATACGAATGGCTTTCCGCGCAACCAAGAATAATGGACCGACAAAAACTCAACTGGACAAACAATCAAACTAGGTGACGGAATAATTATAAACAGGTAACAGACATTCAAATAGACAGACTAGGAAACAAAACGACATGTTCTGGTAAACGTGTTTCACCACCAACCTCGTCATCGTTTTCTATCAGGTGAGAATGGTGTAAATCGTGACCCATAGAAACCTATCTGTATGTATGCCGCACCAACAATCGTTAAATTTTCAGTTACCAAGACTATTTCTGCCGATCATTATGCCATCGTTTTAGTGAACGAAATCACTAATCATTATGGATGCCACGAGAGACGCCACTAATCCCCAATCTTCCGTCTAAGAGGCTGATCAGCATTTTGCCGTTTGCTACTAGCAGGTGGTCGTTGGATGGTTTTGGGGAAACCGAACTTTAATTGCCATCTAAGGCACACGGCCACAACCATGAAGGGCTCGGCAGCAGCACAATAGTCCCACAGGACGCCGGGCACTCACACTGGGCCTCCCATCATAGTCCCAGTCATCTGACTGAATCGTGTCTAGTTCATGTTTGAGCCGCGCAATACCACTACCGATATAGCTCTGAACAGACTCTCCTTTAGCCCTATGAGTGTCTTCAACTCCTTATAGGAGGAGTGACTCCAAACACCTCGCCAGGAGATCGTACAAGAAGTCGCGTGGACGCAATCCTTGTTGGGTAGTCCTAGTATACCAGCAACCTTCTCAACTAGCTCCTCGTGAGTCACGATCACTCCGACGCGGCCGGCGCCATTAGCGGCTACTATGTCGGGTTTCCGAAGGCCTTTCGAGGTCTTGACATGAAGCTCTGTCACCACCGACCATTGTTCTGAGGCCATCGCTTCCGCTACTAGCCTCATTACACGGTCATGGCGCAAAATCTGGCCCCGTGCGTCCGCCAACATTGTTGGATAGTGTGAGCCGTCGTCTCCCTAACCACGCACCCGGCGCGGCAGTTCAACTCCGCCTCACGACCAATCCTTCACCCTCTGGACGTCCAAACCCGTAACGGGAAGACTTTTGTGTGCGTGTGGACGAACTGCACGAAGTCCCGACCTGAGACATTTGAAGACTCCTCTCACATCCACTTCGTAGACGCGAGAGTGCGGGTGGATTCGCGTAACTCGAATCCGTCCACTGAGCTCCACAGTCTATCTCGCCAAAACCGTGAGACGGACCTAAGGCCCGTGACCGGATCCTCTCTGGTGAGTTTTCGGATTTGCTTGTCGGTCCAGGATCTGGCGGCGGCCTTTGCCACTGATCAACTCGACGAGTCAAGCCGCCCGAATCTCTTGAGTACGAGATCCGGGACGGTCGCCCGAAGCAATGGGATCGTTAGGCCGCCGTCCTTGATGTTGGCGTGGAAGTACTCGGCAGGCACATTCTTCGGAAGCCTCAGCCAATTTCTAACCGAACCCCGGATCTGCACGTCGAGCACGCACAACCTATCATTTGAGATATTGCCCAGCATTAGGCCGTGCAAAAATCTCGGAATAAGGTGTCCCCTCACAATTTTGAGTCGCTGCTGTGGCTTGAGGGGTGCCTTTGGGATGTTATGTAAGGCAATTTTGATTGTATGCTCTAACTTTACGCATCCAGACGCCTAGGAGTCGATGTCAAGATAGCGCCAACGTTCCACGCAAGAAGTTTGAGTCAACCACTTCCGATCTATCCGGAAATTTTTTCCGGTCAAATAGTGGTGCTTCTTGCGCTTTCCGTCAGGCGCCATCGACAAGACGGAGCACATGTTGTTGATTACCAAGAGATCCATCGACGGCGCAACCTCGAATACGCGGTCAATGGATTCCTGCATCCCTACCTTTGAGCCTACAAGGTCTATTAGGTCATCAGCATCGCCATTTTGAACAAGATGGGCGATAACGGTTCTCCCTGACGCATACCTCCGCCCAGTTGAACAGGTGTACTCGACTGCACGCCGACATTCAACGTGGTGGTCGCCAAGTCGTACAGCCGAGAGATGTAATCACAGAATGCCAAGGGCAACCCCCGAGCGTGAAGTAGCCCGATCAGCACTCTATGAGACACTGTGTCGAACGCCTTCGCGAAATCGAGGACCGCTACATGACACTTTCTCAGCTTTTTCCTGCTATCCCCTAGCACCGCGTCCAGCACGGCGGAATTCCCCAACGTGCCGTCGGCGCGGACGAATTCACGCTTTCGTGCATCGGGGGGGGGGGGGGGCAGCAAGCCAGAAGTCTCCGCACCAGGACCGAGTGCATGTGCTTAAGCGGTATCTACGAGATCAAAATTGGTCATAGTCGCCCGGCCCAGTAGAATCGTTCTTCTTCGTACAACGAAGATCGTCCGGCCTGGTCCATTTATATGAATTAAACTGATGGACAAACATTGTTGTTATATAATTTTTGTAACGTAACCAGAAATTGTAACAAATCATAACAAAAATGAACAACCACCGTACTTTAAAAGTAATCTCAAAAATTTTAAGCCAAACAGAAATCTTAATGAGTTCTAACAACCTTACATTTCAATAAAGTTCGCTAGTAACCTTTTTAAATAATCAACGAAATATAAGTACTCACTTACCTGCGTTGTTTGTTAAACAAAACAAAACTGACAATTTAACATTGGAAATTTACTCGTCGGTAAAGAAACACACGTCTTTCACTTTTTCAAAATGGCAACAAAATGGCCGACACATCGTAGACAGAGAAACCTATAGACAAATTGACGCCTTCTTTCGCATTCGCACACGAAAAAGATAGATAGATATAAAGAAAGATAGACGTGTGCATAAACGTCTTGCGTAGAAATGAGATAGAGCGGTGTGATTGTTTGTCCCTTTCTCCGTGCCGGTTTTTTTAACTGTAGAGTTTGCTAAACAACTTTGACAGCGTAGCGATTTAAGGAGTTTACAAGTTGGTTAAGTGAGAAAAAAGTGTTTTCTGAGCTTAAGATTGGTGAATCTTGTTCAGTTCAGTTCTTAGAACAATTAAATTTTTTATCTAAATGTATTTAAAAGTCACAAAGATTATTCTATAACCTAAAAATTTGTTATCGTTCTTTCTTACTCGAGGCCACGCCGATCATTAGTCTATAGGTTTCTCTGTCTACGCGACACATAATATTTTTTTCTGGGGTATGCCATTGGCCGTAGACAGAGAATCCTATTCTCTGTGTATTCTCTGTCTACGCCATTGGCTCGTTAGAGAAAGAGTGCTGCCATTTAATAATTACCATTTATTGCCAAATTTCACCGTTGAATAACAAAAATAACCAAAATTTTAATACTAAAAATAGTTATCAAAAATAGTTATTTTATCGAAATTAATGGTAATTTACTACCGTAGCAGAAAGTTCACCAATAATTAATAAATGTAGCTAGTGTATTTATTTTCATGATTTACTCGTGAAGAGGACAAATTATTTTGTAAGGAGAATACTCGACTTAGTTACGAAAAAAAGAATAGTATTTTTCTATTAGTGGTAATTAAATATAAAGCTAAAAAAAACTTTTCACATAATGAATTTTATCATAAAATATTGCTTGTGTACAGTTTTATTTTATAAAAATGCTCATTTTAAATGATTATCACCCTATTTAATATGTTTATTACCTTAAATTTTTCTCTAAGGGACTCTTTCCATTTTAAGCTATAAATCGACCGTACGGATCTCTTTTGCAAAACAAATATGACTTCAATGTCAGTCGCATTACCCATAGTAAGATTCCATGAAACATTAGCTATGAAAGTAACTAAAATAAACTAATCTAGCTATTTCAATATTGGTTAGACTTCTAATCTTTCTTACAGAATAAGCTACAGATCTAAGCCAGCCTGCTAATTTAGATATATAGGGGCCCCATTGAAGCTTCGCGTTAATAGTAATACCAAGAAAAACAGTGGTATCCACAAGACACATTTCTTTCCCATTTAAGAGAACATTGGTATTTGAATGTTTTACTTCAGGTATTGTAAATTTAATAGATTTTGTCTTATTACCATTTGAAAGCAAATTATTATCTTTTAGCTTCGATAAATCATTATTTACATTGTCAAAATTAATTGACTGTCGATTGAGTTTGAAAATTAAAGAGGTATCATCATCAAATTATATTACTGTTGCGCGCCTAAGTTGACGTCAGGTACCTGGCACTAGCATCATGTAGTGTCGGGGACCAGAGCGAGGAGGGCTTCCTAGAAAATGTCAATCTTGATCTTTCGAGTAACAGCGCTATCTAGTATCGAACAGAAGAATTAAGCTTTCTAGAAGCCCCACACTCGAACTTTCTGCGTCTGGTCGTTCGGCGCCCGTTTTTTACTGGAATATTCTGGATGTTTCGGTGTAAAAGGTGTATTTAAAGCCGCTGCAACCCGCTATCGGGGCAGTATTGAATTTGGCGAGACAAGCGAAGCTTCGGAGCGAAATAAAGTGAATCAGTGTGATTAATTATTAGTGTTTTAAGTTTTAATTGGTGTTCGGTAATAAAAGTGTAAATTTTGGTAATTCATTCGGCAGTTTTTATTGTCCCGAACCTCGAGCTCGTAACAATACTATATCGTGATTGTACCCTACAAGATAAGTTAAGTCATTAATATAGACTAAAAACAGGAATGGGCCAAGAATCGAGCCTTGAGGAACGCCCAATGATACTACTGATTTGTAGGAACCTTTACCATTGATAACGACTTTTTGAGTTCTGTTATTTAAATATGAAATAATAAGTCTAAGTGCAATATTTTTGATACCGTAATGTTGTAGTTTCCTGATTAATTTTTCATGATGAACACATTCATTAATTTTTATGAATTCCTACCGTCACCCACTCATTAAATGCCTTGCGACTGTTACTGGAGAATGTTTTAGAAGTAAATGTTATATTAAATTCATTGCTTATAAGAGTAAATAATTCTCTTGTAAGAAAGCGATTGAAGGTTTTTTTAACCATATTACTTGTAAATCTCTCCAGACGTTTTGCATTAATCGAAACAAACAAAATTTTGGTATGGTAATGCAACCAGTTGTCCACAGTGATCTGAACTTAGTTTATAAATTATGTATTTCTTGATTGGTACAACATCTGTAAAAATATATAATACAATTTGCACGATACTCTGCAATACGTGTAGCTTCAAAGAATAAATTATCTAGATTGAATGACTTGAACAATGAACAAACTTTAGTACTGATGTGAGAAGCTTCCAGGAGAGATTGATATTAAAGTCTATATCTCGCATACTACAAGAGATTTATTTTGTGTTCAGCTTAACTAAAACTTCTTTCATAATTTTTTCAACGGTATCATACCTCGAACATGGGGTCTATAAACACTGACAACAATGAGGTGCTCAAGCTCAACAAATTCCATTTCTACAGTTCGCTCAACAGAGAGGCTCACAATATCTTTACGTTCTTTACGTGATATGGATTTATTAGTTAATGATAAGGAACATGTAATTTATTAAATGAACTGACCACCTGGTGATTACTGAAATTATATATGGAGTTGTGATCTTTCAACCAATGTTCATATTATATAAAATACGTATATGGTTACTATTTAAAAATAGTAAAGTCAAATTTCTAGTTCTTTGCCTAACATACCTTGTATATTTTGGTGCATCAGGTTAATACAGTTTTATTACTGCTATTTTGTGAAATAACACAGTTAAGTATTGGTGATTTATATTGTAAGGTATTTAAATTTTCTTTACTAGAGATTACCTCTATTGTCTTATAATCTTATTTAAATTACTTGGAACTGATTCCAAATCATTTGTATAATTATTTTGCTGCTGAATAGAAGCAGGTGTCAAGGTAGCCAAAAATTTTGCTGGGTTAAAATATAAATAATAAAATAGCGCATTTACTATCAGTCTTAAATTATGCTTTGATAGGTAATACCCATCTCTTGTAAAAAACTTCTTAGTTAAAATATTAACCTCTCAAAGCCCAAGCGGTCACATGCGACACAGCACTTTAACCCGTAAAAACTTATATTTACAGACTACTTTTCTATGAAGAAGTTTGGCATTATAGGCTCAATGTGAAATTTCCTATCCTTTAATGTAATAAAAAGTAGGTAGTTTATGGTTTTTATTTATAATCTACGTTCATTTCGTACGCCTATTTCGTGTGGCGTGTTATTGTGTTGATTTTTAGATTTTCCTAATGTTTTATTAGTGTTTAGTATAATACTGTTTTATTATAAAATAGTTATAAAAGTTTTTGTCTGAATATGATTTATCTTTTTACGTAATAGTAATAATAATTTCAAGTAATATATAGAAATAATTGTGATATTCAACCTGCCGGTCTGTGCGGGATACGTACATTTTTAACTTTAAAAATACAATTAAAATCTATTTTTAATGAAGTAAAAGCACTAAAGCAAGTAATATATATTAAAAGGTAATAATAAAAATAAAGAGAAATAAGTGTTATATTGAAATTTATAATGAATATTATTAAAAATAAATGTACAACAAATTCAAGGTTAGATTATTTTTAGCGATGCCGCGTCACGCGAAGCGAGCGGGCGATGTTAATCATTTTAGCTGGCGGCTGAGGAGTTAATATTAATCAAATGATATTTATCATTATAATTCTTAGAATTAAATGTACAATTTAAATTATATATATATAAATATATATATATATATATATATATATATATATATATATATTTGTTTATTTATATACATACTGTACGTCATCATCCCACCATAACGTATTATTTTTCCTTAGCTGCATGCATTAGATAGCTGCATCCACTAAATTAACTAATACTATATATATATATATATATATATGTGTGTATATTTTTTTTATGTGTGTGTGTGTGTGTGTGTGTGTGTGTATGCATATAGTAGAACAAACGCAGCAGTAGAAATGCGGTCATTAGAGAGTATGTTAGGGCTGAATCTGAGTGATAATTGTGTGATAAGAGAAGAGTGTGGTTTGCAAGATGATGTCACCAGGATTAAGAAAGGAATGCTTCGGTAGTTTGGTCACGTGGAAAGAATGAAGGACGAAAGAGTTACAAAGCAAATTTATATTGCAGAAGTGAACGGCAGAGTCGGAAAGGGACGTCCTAGATGAAATTTTATTGATCAAATTGGCAATATATTGAAAACGGGCCAAATTAGGGGCACCTTTAACTGACGAGTATGTATGGGTAGGTACATTGATGTGGAGGAGGCGAGAGAAGTGTGTCAAGATCATGCCAAATGAAAGTCTGTAGTATTTGCCTACCCCGCTGGGTGACAGGTATGAGTGTTATATATATATACAATATATATATATATATATATATATATATATATATATATATATATATATATATATATATATATATATATATATATATATATATACCACGAAGAGTGTGGCGGGAGCTGCGCTGCACATCGCTCATTTTCATTAGTTAGTTAGCTCATCTGGGTTCTTCCTCTCTACCCTAGGGCAGTAAAATCATACCGCAAACGATCGCTACCCAGTCCTGAGGAGTATTGCGAGGAAGCAGTGGTTCACTCTGCCGGACCTACTACCAGAAGACCCAAAGAGGGATCCCCAGAGTCGCCTCAGAGCTATTATCCAGGAATATGAATGGGCCACCATCAGAGGAAAATGATGGCAGGCAGCCCCCCCTCCCACAACCGTAACGACACCAACACCAATAGGAACGGTGGCGCCGGTTGTAACAATTACAGCCAAAGCAACCACCGGGGCGACTCTTCAGCCCCCTGCTAATGACACCACCGAGTGTCAACCTTCCAAGAAGAAGAAGTGGGGGATGAAGAAGAAGAAGGTGCAGACTCCTCTTTAGGCAGCCTCTACCTCTACCCTAAACCCAGCGGTAACGATAGCCCAGGCGCAGGTTATTGCAGAATAACAAGCAACCAAAATGGATGGAGCGCCAGAAAGGGCTCTATCAGAAAAATAGAGTCCACTCTGCTCACAGAACGCGCTCTACCCAAAGACCAAGAACTGACTACCACATCCCGAGGCCAGTACCAACAACATCTAGAACACCACCAACCAGCCTTGAAACAGCAGACTCCATACAATGTCTAGTTGGTATTGCCATCGAGGTTGGCACTCAGGTCTGGCTGACATAAGAGCCGAGGCTGATCCCATCACCGCCGTGATGAAAGCACTTGTACAACTACTGGCTCGGCATTACGGAGGACAGTAACCTGCGCCTCCTCTACTGGAACCCCGTCGGAATCCAGCATAAGCTGCATGAATTCCACACAGTCGCCCAACAACAGAAAATCCAGGATCTTGCTGGGAGAGACTAAACTGAATCCATCTACGCATCTGCCAAACTTTCATATATACAGGAGGGCCGAGGTCACTTCTCAAGGGGCTGCCTATGGAGGGACGGCGGTTCTAGTGAGGAGGGATATCGTCCATCAAGTACTAGACCTGTTAGACTATCAATCGATGCGCTCTATCGGCATAAAATGGAGGCGGCGTGCAAAGGAATTAAGGATTCTTGCCGCCTGTCGCCCGCCAGGGGCTCCATTTTACTCCTCAGACGTCCCGACCGTAATGGAAGGCACAACGCCCACCATCATCGCCGGGAACCTAAATCCCAAACACCTGGCGTGGGGATCTAGACTGATCAATCATCTATATGAATACGCGGAGAGAAACAACTATGACGTTTTAGGTCCCGAAGAGCCTACACACGTTCCGACAGACCCACGGAAACGTCCGGGTGTACTGGAAATCGTGCTCTCTAGGAAATCAACTGCCTGATAGTAGTAGAGGTGCTGTACGACCTGAGTACACAGCACATCCCGTTTCTGATTACCCTTTACCTCAAGGTGGTGACTACGACACCCAGAGCCTTCAAGACAAAAGTTGACTGGAGGCTCTAACACCAACTCCTGCAGGAGAGACTTCTAGCTTATACACCTCTTAGTACAACGGACGATGTAGAGGCCGCTGCAACAAGATTAACCAAGTCCATCCAATAGGCCCTCCACTGGCCTCTGCGATCGTTCCGATCTTCACAAAGAGAGATGAACTGCCGCGTGAGATATGCGTGCAGATCAAACACAAGATAGCGTTGAGGAAGGTCTGGACGCGTACTCGCTGCCCAAGAATCAAAACGCAACTCAATAAACTAACGGGTGAACCGTCGGTTGCAATCCAGGTCCACAGAGGAGAAGCCTGGGAGTGACGCATCTGGAAAGCGGAAGAGCATATGCGTCGCTTTACAAATTCAACCAACCGACATTTAACTAAAACTAGTCCTCCCATTTACCAACAACGCGGGCGAACGTTGTTACGATGCCAAGGGTAGAGCGGATATCCTAGTAGAACACTTCGAGGAGCAATTTATGGCAAACGCAGCAAGTGCGGAGTTCATAGAGCACAAAAACACGCCAACAAAAATGAGGCCACACTCTAGCTTCACCCCTTTCAGTGCGTACGTAAGTAATGTGGATAAGACGGAAGAAGGCACTGACTAGCTGCTAGATAACTAAACAAAATGCGAGGGTACTACATACATGAAGCACATAATCATACAACCAACCCGTATAATTTTAATACACCTACTAGCACTACGTCTTGAGTATTTATGATCTCCTATTTTTTTAAGTCGATTTGTTCGCAAACTAGATATAAGAAGTATTTCAAAGTAATATGTAACATAGTTTTATAGATTAACTCGCAATTTACGAATCGCAACCGAGGTCCAGAGGGAAAAGGATGACACGTCAGGGGTTGTAATATTATCATTATGAACTATCGACTTATCCATTAGACTTAGCTGTCATCAAAATCTCATAAGATTTCGTAGTTTAGTAGTTCGTAGTGTGGCTCATCATTATATAATTGCGTTTATAAAGAAATATATAAATCAGACTAGGCTGTATGATATTAGACCTTTCTACCTTAAATGGCGAATCGTAACAACAACAACTCTTTGCTCTTTGGTAGCAAATGGCAATGTCATGTCACGTTAAAATGAAAAATGGCGTTTGTGTTGTGTTGAAGGATTACGATAAACATAAGATCTATTTTTTATGCTTGATCGGTGATTTTTGTGTGGTAATTTAATTGAATATTGAATAGTTTTTAGCAATAAAATAACGTGGACTGATGAATTTGTTGACCGATGTCTGCCGTGGCTCCCACTATCCCCGGTTCGTTCTTTTACTTGTTGCAGTGCAATTTATGGATAAAATAATACGTTTGTCGTGAGTTATTAAATAAAATGACAGAAACTAAGAATCTCTTTCAAAGTGCATTCGTTTACAATAATTGTTGATAAAGAGCGAGCTCAAAAATCTCCGACCTATTTTCTATTGACGTCGTTCCGCGTGACGCGTTGCTAGAGCGGAATTGACCCACAAGAAACAATAATTACACTTTTTCAAAGTCATATCCCTTGTTAAATAGATTTTAATTGTTGAAATTAGTAAAATTGTTACGCATTTTAAATTACTACTGATATCCAAAATATATTTAAATTTATTCCTTATTGTTAATTTATGAAGTACATAATCAGATATATTTAATATTATTTTAAACTGGAACCTTGTATCTCCTTTAGTATAAAAATTCAATTTAAAAGCTGATATTGATATTGTTAAAACCTTAATAACCTAAGGCTCTTATAGGAATTTATTTTGATTGACAAAACTATAATTATATGAAAATCAGCAAAAAGTTTAAGTAAATCTAAATGTGAAAATATTTACTCTCTAAAATAGAAGAAAGCTAAAAAAATTATAAGTACTCAAACATAGTATGCATTATTTGTTGTTTTGACTTTCTTACAAATGTATATTACATTACATAGTTTTAAAAATAAAAGATTTTAGATTTATCAAAAATTTTTATTGTTATTTTAATAGCATAATGATATTTCACTCATACAAAAAGTGTGGAATATAGTCTGGAACAAAAATTGATTGCAATTAAAAATAGTTTCTTTTATAGGGGCTGACCCATCAAAAGATATACAAAAGCGCCGTGCTGGCAGTGTTGGGTAAGACATCCTTAGTCACCTAAAAATAATTTACTGATCTTAAAACAAATTCAAACAATTCCTAACTTGTCCAATAAAATTTTGCACTGTGCTATTAAATGTTATTTTGAATGTGGAATCTAAACAAGGGCTAAAATATTTAAAAACAAACTTTTTCTTACACACATAATTTAACTATTTTCTTCTTCAAAATTATTTTACCTTTCAATTTAAGCTTAAGGCCTGAGTAAAGAGTATTTGATGAAACATGTGGTAAGTGGAGCATTTATGATAGATTTTGAGAGGCCCCTGCTCAGGACACTGTAATACGAAAGTGTTAGTTTCTTATGCATACCAATTGCCAAAAGCTCTCTATTCAGCTTTTACTATAATACTATTAAGGATTAAGATGTTTGTGATGATTTAGCTGATTTTAGTTATATTATTAAGCAACAACTCATCAAATTTCATGATGTTTAATATATGAGTGGAAGCTGCATTAGCGGCTATTCATCTTGTTTGATTCTTTGCACAAATAAGATGACCGGAGAGAGACACAATGACGATGTTTATTGAATAATAATGATTTAATGTGTTTAATTTTATCATGTTCCCAATGATTATGGGGGGCTGTTAACAACCAATATGTTAAGAATTTTAAAATGGTTGAATCCATAAAATATAGTGTCTTTCTATAAATTTAACATAAATATGAACAATTTTGGCTGTCACTTAGTAGGGAAGGAAGAAACTACTTCCATTTGGCACAATCTTGACACACCTCATTTGTCTCATTCGTGTCCATATATACATGCTTATCGGTTAATAGTAATCTTAATTTGGCCCACCTTAAATATATTGCCAATCTTGTAGATAAACTTCCATCTAGGGCATTTCTTGATGATTCTGCTATTCACTTCTGCAACATAAATTTGCATTATTACTCCTTTCTCATTTATTCTTTCTACATGACCAAACCACTAAAGCACTCTTTTCTTCCTAGTCACAACATCTTGTAAACTACACCTTTCTCTTATCAGCTTTACACACAATTTCTCGCTATAATTATTGTTATTCTATGAGTAATAATTTGCATTTTAAAACTTCAGTGCAGTGTTGTAATATCGATTCATTACTCTATAATAGCCTATAAAAGTCCACTTCTGAACATAGCCTCCCCCTTAGATTGCCCCATAAGGCTATTATTATTATTAGATTGCCCCGTAAGAGGGATTTTGCCATAGTTGCCACACTTGGCGAGTGGGGTCGCAATCATAGTTTTTTTATAATTATGAGTTGTTATCAGGAAGATGATACTACCCATCTTCTGTTTCAGTTCCCACCTGTCACCTCTTACGATTTTGAAGGGATAAGTAAAGAACATAATAATCTTGAGAATTTTAGAAGTATATTATTAACTGTCCATGGTTATATTAAAAAGTCGGTAGAGCTTTATTTACGGCGCAGCAAGTTATGGGTTTGAATCCCACGCAAAACTAGTGGTTATAACAGACACATTATAATATACTTATTGCTATGCAATAGAGTACAGTCTGGTAATATATGGATATTTAAAAATTTGTTGCTGGCCTTTCAGATAGGAGGAAGCTCTTTTCTTGAAGGTGCATTACTACATTGTATCGGTCCAAAAAAATTGCCAGTGATATACAATTCCATAGAGTGGTCATACAAGGAAGAAAATTTCTACTAAAACTTACAGCAATGGACTGCCAAGCATCCAGATAGTATTGTGAGTTTTGACGCGACATGCGTTCGTGTAATTTGGCGACTAGAATGCACTCCCCGTGGAAGACGCAATGGAAGATGCAAACTAATTCAATCGCCAGTGAATCGAGCTGATTGGAGAGGACTTGGTTGTCGCTGGATGTGGTCAAGTGGAAGGAGCTGGGACTGGGGAGCCCTGGACCAGGGATGGAAATATTTTTCCATGTGAGGCCAAACCTGCACCTTATAAAGTTGCAGGTGGTGTGTCGGCATGAAATACTGTCCCGCTCTGTTGAGCACTCTCTTCCAAGTGGCCACGAAACTGCACATCACTCGTTATGTCGACGCCGAGGATTCCGATACCGGCTGTGGCAACAAGGGGAGTGCCTTGAAACTGAGAGGATACGACAAAAGGGCTCTTTTTAGCAGTAAACTCTCAAAACTGTGTTTCTGGGAATTGAACTGGACTAGATTTTGTCGCCCCCAATCCGAGACTTTGTTTAGCAGAGACTCGACTTCAGACGCAAATTTATTCCGGTATTCGGCGACGTTTTCCCGACAAATATTGGCATGACTAGTGTATAGAACATCATCAGTGCTGTCATCCGCATAACAATAAATTTTACAGATTTGCAACATACCATTGATATGCAGAAGATACAGAGTTGGTGAAGGCTGCGTCTTGGGGAACACCAGCATTAATGGGCTTGTAGTCAGAGCATGCACCATCTACTATGATTTTGATGCTCCTATCTGCAAGAAAGCTGGTGATCCATTTAAACAATTTGTCAGGAAGCCCATAAGACAGAAGCTTCGAAAGAGGCCAAACCCGATCGGAGGTCTTCGCTATGACCAAACTAACGGCCAAGGCTTCCCCCTTGCACTCAGTCGCCTGCGCCCATCAGGTAAACAAGAAGATCACAAACTGAGCAACTCCGACGGAAAACCGTACTGGCAGTCATTAATCAGCTAGTGATCCTCAAGATACCGCGTCAACTGGCAGTTAATATAATAATGTCTTTATTACCACAGACAGACCAAAATTAATCCATAGTAGTGTTAGTAACAAATGATTTATAAACTAGTGTTAGTAAACATTAATGTGCGGACAAACTTTTTCAAAATCTGACAATTGTAGTTTCCGCTACTGTTTTTAGAATGCTGTTGTGACTATCTCTCAACCTTCTTAGCAACGAAGCTGTTTTCTTGCGTATTATCGCATCGAGGCATCCTGACAAAATTCTAAAAGTGTAATTATATTGGACACGCAGGACATCCAGTGACCTTTTGGTGTAATTGACCCATAAATTGCTCTTATACAGACTGGCAGTATGCCTTAAATAGGGTAATTTTACCTAGCTCAGTGCAAATCTAGGGGCCAGATTACTCCTGACCACTAGAGTACTGTGTTCCCTCTCAATATCTATATTGTCTTTCAGGTCATCGGCAAAAGAATGACCGAGATATTTGAAGGATGTCACTTTTTTAATTTTTGACCCATTCAAGAACAGGTCAAGTTCATCAATCCTAAGCTTGCCTCTGACCCTAAAAACAATGTACTCACATTTTTGACATTATATGTCAAACCATGCGATTCAGCATAGGCTTCACACACCTTCAGTAACTTTCTTACTGCCCTCACCGACGATCCCAGCACCACCATGTTATCTGCATAGCTGATGTTGTTAATTTTAACCCTGCCAACACTGCATCCGACACGCTTGCTGCTAAGCTCGCCTATGAGAGCATCCACATATAGGTTGAAAAATCTGGGAGAGGTTACACCACCCTGCCTTACCCCGTATTCCAGCCTATACAGTTCACTAAGTGTATCGTCCCATTTCACGTGATTTATTTGATTATTCTACCAATATTTGAACCCCTATCCTCTACCTTCCTCCAAAACACGTCATATGAGACGAGACCAAATGCCCTGGAAAGATCAAGGAAACAGGTATATACCGGGGTACTACTATCTACGTAGTATTGAACGATGTGCTTCATTCTTAAAATAGCATAATGATGGACTCCCTTGTTTTGGAGAACAAGAAGGTGATGACGGTTAGCCGTTATAATTGGACGAAAAGCCTCCTTTACCCATAAAACTATTTTTTAATGTTAAAAATATGTCATACCAATACTGTAGGTATTAAAACTTTTAGCATTGCATTGCCCACCTGTGAAGTGTGAGGCGGTTCCCCACTAAGTGTAGTGACAATCTGTTAAGAAATGCAGGAAGTTTATGGATGCCATCGGCTCAGGACCATTCTTTGTGGCATTCCTTAGGGGAGGCCTATGTCCAGCAGTAGACTTATGAAGGGCTGTTATGATGATGAATGATAATTGCCCACCTTCTTTGCTTACATACAGTGTCAGTGATTTATACAATAATTCTAAATAATAAAGTAGACATGGACTTTGCTGAGGAGGCAAGACAGACATCACTGCAAATACTTTGCTGCAGTGAGAATGTTCCACTGGAAACTAACCCACAAAAAGAGTGGGATATTCCGTTGAAGTGTGTAGAAGAAAGATTTGTTTTATAATTTCTATAGTGATCAATATCAGGCCCGCCTTGTAGCTGTTTCGACTAAGGTATCACTGGTTCCATGCTTTACCCTTAAGTAATCTACTTGGAAAAGAAATTTTACGCATAGCCGTAGGGATCGGACTAAGAGAGGCGATCTGTGAATCTAATCAGTGCCTTTATGGCAGCAGCATCGACGAGCTTTGGCACCATTAACTTTCATGTAGAAAAGTGCTGGTAGGTTGTACTGGAACGGTTCTCTGGACGATATAGTTTTAAAGCTTTGTAGAATATTAAGAGATGATGACCGGAAACCCTACGGTATGAATTTGGTGTCTTGGCTGAGAGACAAAGCCCCAGTGTGGAATGCCATGTGCATAGACACTGGCAAACTTTCATTTTGGAGGTACTACGTATGGAGCCGGAGCAACATCAGAGGCAAGTGAATGGCGCTAATATGAGTCCCTAAGAAACAACTGCATATATTATGCCAATTACTGTAGAGACTGTTGGTCCTTGGGTTCTAGTGCGGTGAAGTTGACAAAGGAAATGTATTCCTGACTTGTTCTTACCGCTGATAACAAGAAGGCTGGTTCTTTTCTCACTCAAAGGCTTAGTATAGCCATGGAGTGAGGAATATCAGCCAACGTTTTTCGGCACTACATTGGGGAGTAGTTCTGTATGACAATTTTAATTTGTAGTTTTATTTTATTATTTTAAATAACCTTACCACTTTCAATATCACATTTACTCATATACATCAGTACAATCAATGTTAGTAGTTTAGAATGATGAAGTTTGACAAACGAAAACTCTTACCTCGATCATAAAATACTAGACCATCGAAAAATAAAGACATTTCATTTAATTACAATCAATATTGTTTGAAAGTACGTCATAATTTTAAAAATTTCTGATAGATTTTAAAAAAAAAGGGAAAAAATCTGGTTATCATATAAGTGGTAGAAGCAGTGCCATCACATCCTTTATGATTACAGTAAAATTTCTAAAGTAAAAACATATTTTCTGTTGTCAGGTCCGATGAAGACGACGCAAGTGGTGGGAAATATACAAGGATGGAGGAGGACAATATTCAAGACAAGGAAAGGTTTGCAAGGTATGTTCTTCTTAATATTACCACATTTAACACTTTATCTTTGTATTGCATTTTAAACAACTCTCATGTTTTACAATATTATTGAAGTTTCTGAAAGCCAGGTAAGCTGCTGCCTACATTATATAAATAATAGTTGATAATATGATATGCTGTAGCTTGTATAACTCTTAATTTTAATTATTTTAGGCTATTATAGTAGAAGTTTTATATATATATATATATATATATATATATATATATATATATATATATTTATTTATTACGTTCCAATTATTTATTAGGGGTATTCATTCATTACCTAAATTGAAAAATTCAAACCCGTTTTTTGTAATTAAGTCTATATACTTATTTAATCGAACTATATTATCTCATCTATACATCAAATAAGAAAAAAAACTTGCAGTTTGACAGTTTATACATATAATATTTTACATGACACAAAATAAGATGGCTGTATTATTCTTACCTTCTTTATTCCAAAAGGATGTTGCCGTTTTTCTCAAAACACAAGCATCCGAGCGAATCCTAAAACATGCACAAAATTCTTATGGTTGACCTTCATATCATACCTGGTACGAGGAGAGTTCGAAAAGTTAACGGAATGAAAGCAAGGAGGTTAAATGAAATGTGAAGTTATTTTTCCTTTTTGATATATTCTCCATTAACACTTATACACATCTCAGACCGTACAAATAACTTATTCTTCTTACCTTCAAAAAATATGGTTTGCTAAGGCCCTTAAAATGGCCGTAATTACCGACTTCACTTCTTCGTCATCTGTCAATTTCTTTCCCCGAAACTCTTTTTAGTATTTGGGAACAGATAATAATTCGAAGGAGCTAAGTTCTGCAAGACCCGCCGCAGAAGAATACAAAAACTCTCCGATCACACTCTTAATCTCATGGCTGTTAGATGGGAGATGAGGCTGCAGTCGTCAACAGATTCGACAGCATACAGGCAACTGAACAGACAGATCTATCTCCAAATGCATGTGGGGAGAATTACGCAACTTTAATACTGCTCGTATTAAAGAAGCGATCGAGCGGAACCAGGGCTCCAAAGTCTTTGCCAGAGATCTGTCTGCCAGAAAGAGCCAACTGTCAAAGCTGAAGACTGAATGTGGCAGCATCGTTTCCGGGACACCTGAGATTTTGAGTGAGATTGAGAGGAGCACATACATAGGCAGAATTGGCGAGAAACTAGTTCGCCTTCCTTCTGGAACCCGTGCATTCTGGTCTCTCGCCAAGGCTGTCCAGGGAAATTTCTGTCAGCCATCTCTTCCATCTCTGCACAGGGAGGACGACTCACTGGCCCATACGGCAAAGGAGAAAGCCGATCTTCTAGGCTCTTTCTTTGCGTCCAACTCGACTCTCGATGACGGGGGGAGTACGCCGACCATCCCGCGGTGTGAGTCCTCCATGCCGAAAGTGCAGTTCACAGCGCTCGGTTCGCAAAGCACTCCTCTCCCTGAACATCCACAAGTCGAGTGGGCCTGAAGGAATCCCCTAATTGTGCTGAGGACGTGTGCTCCAGAGTTGGCACCGGTATTAACGCGTCTTTTCCGGTACTCCTACTACCTAGGCGTAGTCCCAAAATCATGGAAGACGGCTTTCGTCCACCCGATCCCTAAAAAAGGCGACCGCTCAGACCCGTCCAACTACCGGCCTATCGCCATCACCTCCTTGTTCTCCAAAACAATGGAGTCTATTGTAAACTGCCAGCTCATGAGGTACCTTGAGGATCACCAGCTGATAAGTGACCGTCAATACGGTTTTAGCTGTGGTCGGTCAGCTGGTGATCTTCTGTTCTACCTAACTCATAGACGGGCGGAGGCAGTAGAGTCCAAGGGGGAGGCATTGGCCGTTAGTTTGGACATTGTGAAGGCCTTCGATCGGGTTTGGCACAAAGCGCTTCTTTCGAAGCTCCCTTCCTATGGGCTTCCCGAGAAATTGTGCGATTGGATCACCAGCTTTCTTGCAGATCGGAGCATCAAGGTCGTTGTAGACGGTGCAAGCTCCGATTGCAAGCCTATTAATGCTGGTGTTCCACAAGGCTGTTTCTTCTGCATATCAATGATATGTTGCAAACCCGTAACATTCATTGCTATGCAGATGACAGCACTGGTGATGCTCTACACCGGCCGAGCCAATATTTCTCGGGAAAACGTCTCCGAGTGCCGGGACAAACTTGTGTCTGAAGTCGAGTCTTTGCTGAACAGAGTCTCGGATTGGGGGCGACTAAATCTAGTCCAGTTTAACACCAGAAGACACAAGTTTGAATCGTCAACGACCCAGTGCTTTCCGATCGGCTCGATTCACTGGCACTGCAAAGAGATGTTGCATCTCTTTGCATTTTCTTTCGCATATACCATGGAGAGTGCTCCGAGGAATTGTTCGGATTAATCCCAGTCGCCAAATTTCGTGAACGCACTACGCGTCAAACGTCCCGATACCATCCACACCATCTGGATGCTTGGCGGTCCACCACTGTACGTTTCAAAAGGGGTTTTCTTCCGCGTACAACCTCTCTGTAGAATAGTTTACCACCGGCGATTTTTCCGGACCGATACGACCTGGGGACTTTCAAGAAAAGAGCTTACTTCTTTCTAAAGGGCCGGCAACGCACCTGCAATTCACAATTAACATCAGGTGAGCCGCATGCTCGTTTGCCCCCTCTTCTATAAAAAAAAGGTTCTATGCGCAGCTGTACACATCATCGTTGGAGCCACACGCAAGTGTGGTCTTGTTGTTTAAGAAAGGCGACAACACTCTCTTGAAGAACTACAGACCGATTTCCCTTCTGAGCCGCTTTTTGTTAACGAGTACGTTTACCTGGGACAAATAGTCCGACTAGGTAAGTCCAACTTCGACCGAGAGGTCAATCGACGGATTCAACTCGGCTGGGCAGCGTTCGGGAAATTACGACAATCATCTTCTCGTCAGGTATACCTCAATCTCTGAAAACTAAAGTGTACAACCAGTGCGTGTTGCCAGTGATGACTTACAGATCTGAGACGTGGTCCTTCACTGCTGGCCGTATGAGGACGCTCAAGGTCGCTCAGCGAGCTATGGAGAGGGCTATGCTCGTAGTCTCTCTGCGTGATAGACTCAGAAATGAGGATATCCGCAGTAAAATCAGAGTGACCGACATAACCCAACGGATTAGTAAGCTGAAGTGGCAATGGGCCGGCCATATAGCTCGAAGAACCGATAACCGATGGGGAAGAAAGGTTCTCGAGTGGCAGCCTCGTACCGGTAGGCGTAGTGTAGGGCTACCCCCCACTAGATGGAGTGACGACCTGGTAAGACATGCAGGAAGTCGATGGATGCAGGTGGCTCAGGACCGTGCTTTGTGGCATTACTTGGGTGAGGCCCATGTTCAGCAGTGGACTTGTGAAGGGCTGTAAAGATGTTTCACGTGAATGAATGGTTAGTTAACACCTAGTTACTTATTATCGCAAATTCCCACGTAGTTAGCTTTTTACACAAAAAGTTTTTATTACCATCGTTATAAGAAAACCCATTGGTAAGCTCTATCATAGGCAATTATTTTTTCCATGAGCACGCCATCCATTGTCACCGTGTAATGATTGGAAACGTGTCTTATCTTGTTATGCGTGTAGGTACCTTTTGATATTACTTATTTATTAACAGTGTTTAAATTTAAGAAGTTATTAAGATATGCTAATAAAATGGTCGTCTTCTAGACATGCGATGATATTGTAAAATAATTTAAAGCAGCAAATTTTTATTACTTCAATATTTCGAAATTTTTACTTTCCTTAACGAGCTCAAGGTCTCGTAGGTCAGAAATATTTTTTTTTTATAGTAGAGGGGGCAAACGATCATACGGCTCACCTGATGGTAAGTGATTACCGCCGTCCATGAATAACTGCAACACCAGAGGAATTGCAGATGCGTTGCCGATCTTTTAAGAAAGACTAGACTCTTTTCTTGAAGGTTCCTAAGTCGGTCCGGAAAGATCTCTGGTGGTAGTCGCTTCCACAAGGAAGTTGTGCGAGGAAGAACACTTCATATTATAAACACTTACGTACATATTTTCGCACATGACCTCTATATACCTAACTTCTTTATCAGTTCATACCAGTTCGATGCTGGACACATGGCAGGTAGATTGGCGATAGCAGTACCAAATGTCTCACTTCTCTTGTCAAGTTTTAATGTCATCATTTTGAAAATAAAAATGATTAACAATTTCATTACTAGCTATCTATCTAATCACTTAATAACTGTAAAAACATAAAAAATCGTGAAAACCCTAAAGAAAAGAATCATGTTTAAAACTCGATAAATTACTTGACTGTTAAACATGATTCTTTGTTGAGATTTGAAAAATAAACGACTGTGTATAAGATGTTTTAATTCCTTTATTTCATTCTACTGCGCACGAATTACAACCGCCTCTCAGTAGAGAGTAATTGTGTTCTGTGCAACCGCCATTACAATTATGCTTACATATTATATTATTTTTCAAAAGGAAGGAGACATCAACTACAGACAAACCGATACAAACAATTTGTTGATTTTACATAACACTAAACAAAATAAAATAAAAACGTAACCGCTTTCAGTGCCTAGAGGATTGCAATGCAGTGGACTATATGAATGACAAGCTCGTGGAAACTGTCCATGCGGTCGGAGCTAAATTCTGCAAGACCGGCCGCAGAAGAACACAAAAAGTCTCCGATCACACTCTTAATCTCATGGCTGTTAGACGGGAGATGAGGCTGCAATCGTCAACAGATTTGACAGCATACAGGCAACTGAACAGACAAATCTCCAAATGCATGCGGCGAGACTTACGCAAATTTAATACTGCTCGTATTGAAGAAGCGATTGAGCGGAACCAGGGCTCCAAAGTCTTTGCCATAGATCTGTCTGCCCGTAAGAGCCAACTGTCAAAGCTGAAGACTGAGTGTGGCAGCATCGTTTCCGCGACACCTGAGATTCTGAGTGAGATTGAGAGGTTCTATGGACAGCTGTACACATCATCATTGGAGCCACACGCAAGTGTGAGTAACGATCCAAGAGCAAGTCTTATCCGACACTATTCCAATGATATCCCGGACGTCAGTCTGAGCGAGATTAGAATGGCTCTCCAGCACCTAAAAACGGCAGGGCCCCAGGCGAGGATGGAATTACAGCGGAGCTTCTGAAAGCGGGTGGAACACCGGTACTTGAAGTCCTTCAGAAGCTCTTCAATTCCGTCCTCCATGGTGGCACTACTCCGGAGGCGTGGAGCAGAAGTGCGGTGGTCTTGTTGTTTGAGAAAGGCGACGACACTCTCTTGAAGAACTACAGACCGATTTCCCTTCTGAGCCGCATCTACGTGCTGTTTTCGATAGTCATGACGAATCGCCTGTACACAAGACCGAAGAGTACAATCTGCCACTTTGCCTGGTATATGTGGACTATGAGAAAGCTTTTGATTCCGTCGAAATTTGGGCGGTGCTACAGTCCCTTCAGCGGTGCCAAGTTGACTGTCGGTATATCGAAGTGCTGAAGTGTATTGTACAGTAGGGCTACGATGGCTATCCAAGTACAGAACCTATCCAAATGCAGAGAGGTGTAAGACAGGGTGACGTTATATCCCCAAAACTCTTCACCGCTGCGTTGGAAGACGTTTTCAATCTACTGGACTGGAAAGGATACGGTATTAACATCAATGGCGAGTACATCACTCACCTTCGATTTGCCGACGATATAGTCCTTATGGCAGAAGCTGAGGCCTTAGCACTATGCTCAATGACCTCAATGGTGTCTCCCAATGGACAGGTCTTAAGATGAACATGGACAAAACAAAGATCATTTTTAATGTCCATGTCACACCTATGCCGGTAGTTGTTGGGAGCACTATGCTCGAAGTTGTTAACGAGTACGTTTACCTGGGACAAATAGTTCGACTAGGTAAGTCCAACTTCGACCGAGATGTCAATCGACGGATTCAACTTGGCTGGGCAGCGTTCGGGAAATTACGACACATCTTCTCGTCAGGTATACCTCAATCTGAAAACTAAAGTGTACAACCAGTGCGTGTTGCCAGTGATAACTTACGGATCTGAGACGTGGTCCTTCACTGCTGGCCGTATGAGGTCGCTCAGCGAGCTATGGAGAGGGCTATGCTCGGAGTCTCTCTGCGTGGTAGACTCAGAAATGTGGATATCCGCAGTAAAATCAGAGTGACCGACATAGCCCAACGGATTAATAAGCTGAAGTGGCAATGTGCCGGCCATATAGCTCGAAGAACCGATAACAGATGGGGAAGAAAGGTTCTCGAGTGGCAGCCTGGTACCGGTAAGCGTAGTGTAGGGCGACCCCCTACTAGATGGAGTGACGACCTGGTAAGATATGCAGGAAGTCGATGGATGCAGGAGGCTCGGGACCATGCTTTGTGGCATTACTTGGGGGAGGCCTATGTTCAGCAGTGGACTTGTGAAGGGCTGTAATGATGATGATGATGACATAACATTCTTCCTAAAGTAGTGCTGACATTTGATACAGACTAATGTTGTCTGTTTATTATTTCGATAAACTGATGCACTTCATTTTACAGTTGCATTTACATTTCAGTCGTGAGAATCATTGCGAGATCGAGCGCAGACGACGGAACAAGATGACGGCATATATTACGGAACTATCTGACATGGTTCCAACATGTTCCGCCCTCGCACGCAAGCCCGACAAACTCACAATACTGCGTATGGCAGTAGCACACATGAAAGCACTCAGAGGTACTACATAATATAATAAATATAAAATATTGTAATATGCAATTACCCCAAGTATTTTTATAATGTATATTACTTGTCCCTAGGTACGGGAAATACCTCTACTGATGGTACCTACAAGCCATCGTTTTTAACCGATCAAGAGTTAAAGCACCTTATTTTAGAAGCGGCGGACGGTTTTTTATTTGTCGTCAGTTGCGACACCGGCCGTATCATATATGTTAGTGATAGTATAGCGCCAGTACTTAATTACTCGCAGGTATGTACACCAGATATTTTTTCTTTGTTGATATAATTATGTAAAATATTCTAAGTTTGTTGTTTTCTTTTTTATAGGGAGAATGGTACTCGTCATGTTTATATGATCAAGTACACCCAGACGATGTCGAAAAAGTTCGAGAACAGTTGAGTACGCAAGAGCCGCAGAACACTGGTCGCATTTTAGATTTAAAAACGGGCACCGTTAAAAAAGAAGGTCATCAATGTAAGCATTTTAGAAGCCATTACTTACTCGTGTTTGTGTTTTATAATGCTAGCCTTACAATTGACTACTGTTCCACGTTGGAAAGCCTCTTATACAAATATATTCTATTGTATGAGCACTCTATTATTACGGGTGATTTAAAAAAAATCCTTCTAATGAGCGACTCCCGCTTTTTTTGATTGCAATACTTAAGGTAGGTCTACGTTAGAGGAGCCGAGCAGAAGGTGAGCCGCTCTACTCATGGTGTCAAGTGTGGACGTACACAAGCCTACAACATGCAAATCGATACTTGAGATGAAAATCCCTTTGTGTTCGTCAAAAAACCGACAATAGGCGGAGCACAGTCGAGCACGAACCAAACGCTCGAAGCGCGCTCGTTCGAGGCTTGTAAATCAGTCCATACTACACGAATTTGTGCTTGGCTCATGCTCCGCTCAAGCTCGTCTCGTCTAGCGTAGACCCACCTAACGCAATCAGTGAACTCATTCTGACCAAATTGTTATTCATCTCTCCTGGATTTTCAGCTTGTTTCTTCCATGATTGTGTTGCTAAACATTAACAACGACCTGTTGATGCATTTTTATATCACAATTTGATTTACTAATTGTATAAATAACAGTCAATTAACGTAAATAGAAAATCCTTCTGCTACGTAATTTTGGTGGTATGAATTAAAATCATCAGAGGTGATGCGGCATTGATTGACTAGACTGTTGCTTTCTCTGGAGCTAATATTTACAAAAGGATGGAAAGTTTTAATTCTCTCTCTGTTTTAATAACTCTGTGACATTCGTGCTTCATACATCCAATTAGTTTAGTCTGGCTAGTGAACATCCGTCTGCTCTTCTTTGGCTTACTTAGGAGATAAAAAATTTGCAGCCTATAAAAATATAAGATTAATGCTGGCAAGTAATATGTGCAGGCCAAATTGATGGATTTAAACAAAATATTGCAATCTCTTGAATATTCTAAAAAGTTGTCAAAGTGCACATTTTTACTCCTTAAATATCTATTCAACCATCATTGAACGATGTTTTGTGCTTGGCCAGCCTGAAAACGCGGGTGCGGGTATGGGCGCGACGTGACTGTCCGCAGTCGAGAGCGACTTCGTTCCAAGCGTTGTCGTGATCAGTGTTTGTCAAACTATATTGATGAAGAAGATTTATGTTTACTGGAATGTTCTTACTTTGAATGGAAAATTCTACTAGTGAAAAATGGAATTAATGATATTAATTTACCCAGAGAAAATGAAGGAGAATTTCACACACATTACGTAAAATTGCGAGCGCAAACTCAATTTTTTTGTTGTATATAGGAGAATATCGATGGATACGTTTGACTATATTATATTAGAAAACAGTAAATTGTCTTATAAAATAAATTCTTATACATTTATTTCGGAAGACGCCATTAAAACGGGCGCGGTTAGCTCGATGTGGTTTGAGATGCCCGCTCCTCGCGTGGTTAGCCGCTTGCCGCCGACGCACTCACTGCAACCAATTGTATTAACTATGTATGGCGTAAGTTGCCCGCGCACTACTCGCACTAACCAGCTCGCGCCCGCCAACGCGTCCGCCCCGCATCCGCGTGGCTACTATGGGCACTCATGGAAGACTTTATGTTTGAGTACGTCGCGCCGCGCCCGCGTTCGCAGTCCGGCCAAGCACTTTGGTCACTGTAACTGTAAATCACGTGTAAACGAAACCGAAACGTCTGAAATTAATAATATATAATACGAACCACTTCAAGCACAAGGATTTTAGCTTATTTGGAGTGGTTAACGGGAGTATCAGCAGTGTTAATAGCGTTACTAGTATTCTTTCTTAAAGATCATTATATTAATAATTGTGTTAAGCGTGATCGAACTAAGCTGGCGTTACGTCCGCGTCCGCAGCGTCGATGCGGCAGGTGATGGGTTCGCGGCGCGGGTTCATCTGCCGCATGCGCGTGGGCGGCACGGCCGCGGGCGACGCGCACGTGGGCCGCTTGCGTGCGCGCAACTCGCTCGGCCCCTCGCACGACGGACACAACTACGCCGTTGTTCACTGCACCGGCTACATAAAGAACTGGCCTCCCACAGGTATGTATGCAATCATTTTGGAAACGGTCAAATAATTGCAACTAATTCGAAGGATGCGCAGTACCTTAAATTATACTTACGTTGTTTTGTGTACAGTAAATCTTCAAAAACAAAATCAAATTGATAGTAACTACTAAACAATAAATTTACTCATAAATCTTAAAATATGACAGGGCTTATAATGCACTCTAATGTTTATGTATAAATATGGCATTTATTTAAAATATTGTTGCAAGAGATAATCATCGAATTAGTTTCTATTTGAATTCTGAACATAGCCGTAACAACATTATACGCAGTTCTGCGTGCACGTATTAACTGCTTTTCAAATAGTACATTACAACGACTAAATACAAAAATCTTATATGTAAGGATACACTTTGTTTATTGTAAAATGAAATTTTGTTTTTAAATATTTAAAAACACGATTTTACGTATTTTGGGACATTAGATCTCTTTCCAGGTATGCAGATGGATCGGCCAGTCGATGATGAGTTGCACGCGTCACATTGCTGCCTTGTCGCTATTGGACGGTTACAGGTGAATGCTTTATCGTAAAATTATCACAAATAAATTATCTATACTATTTAAAGTCTCCCGACGCGTTTGTCTGCATGTATGTTCGCGGCAATCTCAAAAATTACTGTGGATATGGGCTTTTCATTCAGCTATCAACAACAGATAGAATGACAGCATCTTTTTAGATGATGATGATAATTATATAAGAATAATGTACGTTGAAACTTTTCTTCGCAAAGAGTACTTTAGACGAAAGTCCGCTACATTATAATATGTCTATTACGAAAAGAGAACTTTAAAAATATATACATGAGAATAGTTTGTGTAAAAAAGTACAAATGTAATAAATTAACTATGATTATTATTTTATGCATTTTATCTAGATTAAAAAGTTTTTATCCTAAATCTTTTGATTTCACAGTAGTTTGGTTTTTACAAGATTTGGTATGCAAAAAGACCTAGCACGTCTTCTACTATGAACATACTGAAACTCGATGTACATTGCTTGTGATTGTGATAGTCGAGAGTTCAAGTATTTATTTTAGATTAACGTTAAAATTTCTCTATTATCAACACATTATTAAAAATAAGTGTCACAGAGGGGGCAGGTCAGCATAGTCCACTATATCCGGCCGGAGATACTTAGCCCTACTCACTAGTGTAACTTTAAAAGTGTGCAAGTTTTATTTGAACTGTGTTCTGGTTGTGATGTCTGATGTGAGGTTGGTTAGAATGCGTCATTTAAAACCCAGGAATCAATTATTAGTGTTTACCGCCAAATGCATCTAAATGTGTAATAATAATGTCCTTCAGACCGAATTTCGGCCACGGAGGTCTGCCTCAACGGAGGCTAGCCATCGGCGCAGGACAGAATTATAGTGCCCAAGTGTATGCGCCAGCACAGGTGCACTCTCTATTCCCTCACTCTCATAATCCGATAGAGGACGGTAAACCGACACAACCGGAGAGAGATCAAGCGCAGACCAACGGCTTTACGTACTTTCCGAGGCACGGGGGTGAGACACCGCCAACTTCCTAACTCCGGGGCAACTACTGAGAATTTCTTGTCGGAAAAACTCAATAATTAATTTATCAGCAGTCGCACTACTACAACCACTAGATCAACGAGGCAGTCGTCTAAATGTACAAAAGTATGGATTCTAGTTATTCTATTATATAGTCTGTGGGAGATGATGTAGCAGGCGAGCAGTGAGCAGAGTAAACGAGCGATGTGCGTGTGGCGGTGTCGCAGGTGACATCGACGCCGAACAGTGCGGAGGGCGGCGCGTGCGGCGGCGCGGAGTTCGTGTCGCGGCACGCGGCCGACGGGCGCTTCACGTTCGCCGACCAGCGCGCCGCGCAGGTGGTGGGCCACGCGCCCGCCGACCTGCTCGGCAAACTCTGTTACGAGTTCTACCACCCCGAGGACCAACAGCACATGCGCGACAACTTCGACCAAGGTATATTTATTTTCTTGTGTGTGTGTGTGTGTGCGTGTGTAGAGGGATGAAAATTGAGTATTATTAGTTTTATACATTCGGTTTATCATTATTGCAGCCCTTCATAAGTCCACTGCTGAACATAGGCCTCCCTCAAGGAATATCACAAAGCACGGCCCTGAGCGATCTGCATTCATTGACAGGAGGTTGCCCTATACTTCATTTACTAGTATGAGGCTGCCACTCGAAAACCTTTCTCCCCAGCGAGCATTGACCTGTATGTTCCGCCCATTGCCACTTCAGCTTACTAATCCGTTGGACTATGTCAGTTACTCTAACTCTAACGCGGATATTCTCATTTTTAATTCTATAGTGCAGAGAAACACCGAACATAGCCCTTTCTATAGCTCGCAGAGTTACCTTGAGCTTCCTCATACAGCCAGCAGCAATTTGCTTTCATAGTGGGAGGCAATTCAAAAAACTGATGATAACGAAATTGGGGGATACAGTTTAGTATCGCAGCTACACATCTATCATCTACATCCAACATTTAACTACACCACTTGATAGAGCCCTGGAAGCTCACATGGTTAGCGCTCGCTGTAAATTTCACAGTACGCGAGCAAACCAATGAAATTGTTAATTGCAATTTTAAGTGCTGATTTACCACGTGCTTGGCGGTGAAGGAAAACATCGTGAGGAAACCTGTATGTCTGAGAAATAAAATAAAAATTTCGAAGACATGTGAAGTTCGCATTGGGGCAGCGCGGCGGACACTTCTTTGACTTAAAACTCTCTCAGAAATCATGGGAGGCCTATGCCCAGGAGACGTATATTATAGGCTGTAACTTTATTTTACTTTACTCGATAGCTAAAGAATCAAAGAATTTGTTACCACCATTTTGAGATTGTTTCGTTACGTACACGTATTCACGTAAAACACAGGGCCATGTCCACAACTAAGCCACACCCCAATGTATTTATCAAGCATTTAATATACTTCTAACTAGAGGCTAATTCAAGAATACGCCAACTGGTAACGTGGAGTAGGCATTTTAGTGAAAGCTTAGCCCTATATGGTAATGCTTCTTCTGTCTGTGTTGAAGTTGGGATTAATTTTATTTAGGTGAGCAAGAATTTTATTTGTCATCGTTTATTAGATAGATAGATAGATAGATAGATAGAAAATTCTTTATTGCACTCAAACAAAACAATTTGGTACAAAGGCGAACTTAATGCCGAAAAGGCATTCTCTGCCAGCTAACCTTTTGTAGTGTGGTGAGAGCTATGGGTAGAGCCGTTTATTGTGAAACGTGTGCGTTTAATTTTAGTATTACGTTTTAATCTGTAAATTTTTATTGTTTTATACGTGGTAGAGCCATGCTGCAGTTATATTAATAGTACACTTGTAGTACGAATGGGTCGGCTCGACCGGGGAAGGACCACGCTCTCGCCGAATACCAGCGTGAAATAGTAGCTTAATGCTGCTGTGTTTCATATGGTGAGTGTAGAGAACCGTAGACCCTTTTTTACTGGAAAAGAGGCATTCCATCTTAGTCCTCACGGATGACAACGCATCTGCATTTTGATTTGGTAATCGAGGATAAATAAAGATGTCTATGGGCCGCAGCAATCACTTACCATCAGGTGGAGTACATGCTCGTTTGTCACCCTATTCCATAAAAATAAAAATAAAGAAGTCCTAAATTCCCTTTATATATTGTTTTATGTTTTTACACCTTACTAATTGAAATAATTCTAGTCCGAGATATGTGTTTAATTCTTATTATACTTACTGTTCTCACTACTAACGTTTGAATACGATTTGTTCACCTTTTCAGTTCTCAAGCTTAAAGGCCAAATAATCTCCCTAATGTACCGGTTTCGGACCAAAAGCAGAGAGTGGATATGGCTGAGAACATCTGCCTTTGCTTTTCTCAACCCGTACAATGATGAAGTAGAGTACATTGTATGTACGAATACACTTGCAAAGTAAGTATATGAAGTATTAAAATTAAATAACGTAATAGCAAAAAAAATTATAATCTTGCCTTTGTTACACTTGTTTAATTTTTTAAAATATTTTTGCAAATTTTTCAAAAAAGGCTTTATCACTTTATCACACACTGACTGTACCTTTCACCTATAACTACCAGACTATAAAACAGTTTGAGTTATTAATATAATATGTTCATACTATTGGAATAAATAAAAAGTTTTTTTTCTGATTTTAAATTTTGTTTACCATGTTGTGAATAGGGAAGATTTTGACTAGAACCTCATATAAAGTTGACAGAGAGCTGTGGTTAATTCAAATATTATTAACTAATAAATTAAACATTTATTTGTTATATTAGAAATACATACATTTTATATGTTCTGATAGTGATGGCTCGGTAGTGCGGGCTTGGCAGGCGGATTGGCCACCGCTGATTTGTAATATTGAGTTATTATCATGAAGATGCTGCTGCCCATCTCATGTTTCATTAGCTCTCTGGTGCCTCATGCGACACCCACGAGATGATATGGACAAGTGGATTATTTTACACCGTCACTACTCGGAGGTGTTTTCTTTGCATGATAATGATTGCTTCATCAACCGTCTCCATGATACAGGAGAAAATCTTGAAATGTGATTGATTATATGTGTTGTTGTGGTGTGGGTAACGTAAACTGATTTATATATTGTATCGGAATATACTATTGATTGAAACTTAACAATAAAACTTAACTTCAAATTGAATAGCGTTTGAGTATTTGGCTATGAGAGGTATAAAGTCATAAAGTGGTATCTTTCAATACTTATCGAAAAAATATAGATTTTGCTAGAAGTATTATTATATTATTTTGCACTATGTGAGTCAGTACTATTGTTATTTATCTCAAATAACCACTCGAGGATTTCCATAAATCCTGTAAAGATATTTAAACAAGCTATAAGTACCGTAACGATATTTAAACGGTGGATGGTTGCAGTCGGTCGCTGGGCAGCGCGGGCGGGGAGCCGGTGGGCGAGGAGACGTACGACTACCACCTGCGCCAGCGCGACGTGTACCAAGCGCCGGCGCCTGCCATACATCAGCAGCACCACGCACCGCCAGGTTCACAAATATCTTTGCTTCATTGTTAATAATGATAATAATAATAATCCCTATTCTTCTTTCTATTACTATAATTTGTGTGTGTAATGTATATTTATACTTATACTGCCGTTATAAGAAAAAGGGATGCGTTAACATATTATATTCTTTCTCGAAGCCATTAAAGAGGGATACAAATTGTAGTATAATATTTTTTGCATGACTAATGCCAATTTGAAATATTCTGTTTTAGTAGTTTTGACAAGTGTACTGTATAGTGTAAGCACAAAAGCAACATAAGTTAAGTACCTTTCACTGTATATTAAGTGTTAACAGATAATTTATATTGTTACTGTTAACTTTGGTGAAGACAAGAAATTTTTATCCGAATATACTTGAAGATTTGTGTTGTTCCGAGGAAAAGTCAATTTTGAAAAGATAGAGTATTTGGTTGAATGCGCATTGTTGCACATAATATTATTGCTTATGACAAAAGAATTCCTAAATATAAAATTTTCTTCTTCTTTATTTTTTTTATTTATTGCTTCTGTGAATCAGCTGATTGTGGAAATGCAGTAAATGGAGTGACGATCTGGTAAGAAATGCAGGTAGTCAATGGATGCAGGTAGCTCAGGACCGTGCTTTGTGGCATTCCTTGGGGGGAGGCCTATGTCAACAGTGAACTTGTAAAGGACTGTAATGATGATGATGATAATATACTGATTAGCTTGTGATCATTTTTATACTGCCATCAGCACAAAATATTACACAATACTAAGTGTATTTTTTAATAAAAAGTTTTTATCGCAACATTGTCTCTCTCGCAACGCACATTGTTTCTGTCGCAACATGTCGCTTAACATTAGCAACATGTTGGTTCACATAGTACATTACACATCATATACAATATGTAACGTAATTAACGCACACCCTCAGACACCCCAATTAGTATATTATGGTATAATCATAACACATACACTGAATTTTTAGTTAAACATTTTTATGCACTGATTATTTATCAAATTGGTTATACTAATTCCGGAAGAATGTTGTGGTCACAGTACAAATCCACGAACGCAAAGACTTTAACGTGCTTGAAATAAAGTTCATTTTTCTTTATTTTTATTGAATGACAGAATTAGTAATAATCCTATACCTTTAAACGAGCAATTCTTCCTTCCTTCCAATTCTAATTCCGATTATATATATATATATATATATATATATATATATATATATATATATATATATATATATATATATATATAAATCAGAATCTCGGAAACGGCTCCAACGATTTTCTTAAGATTTTGTGTGCAGGGAGTTTCGGGGGCAATAAATCGATCTAGATAGGATTTATTTTTAGAAAATGTCTTTTTGTCCGTGTTTTTAGGCAATGAAAAACTGATTCGAATCGATTCAGTAAACGATTTTGAACAAACTACTTTCTCAAAGTGCATTAATTATGTTACATGTTGTATAACTGGCCCATTTCCGCGCTTAGGCTTACAGATGATGTGTAATGTTCATGTCACACCTATGTCGGTAGTTGTTGGGTACACTTAATTGAAAGTTGTTAACAAGTCTGTTTATATAGTATAAATTGTCTGATTAAATAATTTTAACTTTTTCCAAAAGGATCCAAGCGTCTGGGCAGCTCCTATACCTCCTCAACATATTCTCCTCGCGTATTCTCCAAACATTAAAACAAGAATGTTACAACTAGTGCATGTTGCCAGTGATGACATAAAATGGACTGTAAATGTCCTTTACTGTAGTCCGTATGAGGAATCCGGAATCCGGGAAATCGAAAATCCGGGATTCGAATCCGCGCCCCTTAGCGTTGTAACTCATTGCTAAGCCACTGCGCCACGGATTAATAAGTTATGTGTAAAAAATTAGAGATGTAAGGATAATAATTGAATGTATGTCACGGGTGCGTTGCGCAGCGGGCAGCGTGAGCGGTGTGGGCGCGCGGTCGCCGAGCGAGGTGGGCGGCGTGGGCGTGGGCGTGGGCCCAACGGCCGCGGCCTACGCGCACTACGCGCCCGACTACTCGCCGCACCGCCCCGCCAACACGCCGCCGCACACCACCTGGACCACGCTGCGACCCGTAACTACCTCGCACCTTGCACCCCGCACACACCACACTGGCTACTCTACTAATATAACTTTTCCAATATGGCGCAAATGTATGACGTCATATACTGTCCTATGTTTTGGAGTGAATCACCAGTATTGCGTCGATTCATGACGTCATTTGCACTGGATAATACACTGGGTTCTATTTTGGAACATTCCCGTCATGTCATGTCAACTGTCACATCTGTCACCCAGAAGGGTAGGCGGACTTCCATTTCGCATGATCCTGATATACCTCCGTTCCTTCAAATCCATATTACGCATATGTGCTCGTCAGTCGAAGGTACTCATAATTTAGTCCATCTTCAGTATATCGCCAATTTAATCGACAAATTTCTTAGTCTAGACTCTAGAGCATCTCTTTACCTACTAATACATAATACGCATAACACACTGTCATTTTACGCAGTTCACATAATAGCTCATTACCCACCATACTAATTAGTACGATGTTAACCATTCATTTAGTCAATCATTTTCTCAAAAGCCCACAACTGAACATAAGTCTCCTATGCATTGCCTCATAGGGGGGATATATGCCAAAGTTGCCATGTTAGAGTAGCAAGCGAGTTGACAACCACAGTTTTTTGAAGTGAAAACTTCTTTAGCGGCGTTGTACACTTTTTTTGTAATGGGTAAAAAATGTTAAACTCGCGTCAGAACACGTGACCTGATCGAAAATTCGTAAGACGGATGGAGAGTAGACAGCCGGCGCGGCGTAGGAGAATACCACATAAATGATAGTACTTTTATACTGATAAATAAAGCAATTTGTGCAAAATTATTCCTTAACCAATCCAAAATATCAAAAATGCACAACGTTAATATTCAAGTTTTCACTTCTGCCGGCACTCCCGGAGTGCAACCCGTCGTTTTTTTTTCAATTATCTATCATACACTTAACATATTTCTCACAATGCCCATAGTACATTACTTATGTTACACATATTACTATCTATCTTTATAATCATTGACATATTTACAAATATATTGTAAATAGCTTATTCGATCACAATTGAATTCGAAACACAATCTTTCACAGTTGCAGATCTTTATAATCTGCTGGGTAAAATAGTCTACATATATCATTGAGCTATTATGTACTACGTACTAGAGGCGACACTGAATTCAGCTACTCTGTTCCACTCAACTGCGGTGCATACACCGCACTTTAATCAGTCACTCGCTAGGCGCTTGTAGAGTTGTCACGTGTTGTATTGATTTGAAAAAAATCTCCTGATAAAAATATGCCGTCGTGTGTACGTAGATATTGCACAAATAATTCAAGAAATGTCAGTAAAAACCAAGGAATTACTTTTCATCGGTTAATAAGCTACTTAATCAATAAAAAAAGTATTATAGATTAATAATAAGACGCCATCTCGTGTCATGGAATATAGATTATGAAATTAATATGTTCAGATGCGACATTTCTGTGGGTACTTAAGTATAGGACGAATATATTATTATACACATTTTTTGTAGAAACATATATAAGTTATAATAATTGCTCTAAATTTTTCATGTTAAAATCTGCTTATTATTCTTTTATTTTATTTTTAGGTTTCCACTTCAAAGTCAAAGTGGAACAAATTCGTCCATTTTTAACTCTCGCGTGCCCAACATTTATATGATATGCATTTAGATGACTTATTCTAATTTAAATAAAATTTGTAATTTAAATGTTATGTTAATAAGTTTTGTTAAACTTACATTTAGTATGTTTTTTTTTTACATTTGACATAGATACCTTTTAAAATATTCAGATAAAAATATCATTTAAATGTAATTGTGATATAATATTATGTAATATTATATTAAATAAGCAAATATAATATACAAAATAAATAACAAAATTTGAATATTGTTCTCGATATAATTTGCCTATTTAACATTACAATCTACTATTACCTACTGATCATTCTAGCTATGTTTATTCTATGATAAAAAAACCAACCACGCGAACACAGAGTAGCGCACATTTTTTGTTTGAGATAGCTGTTCTAGTACGTAAGTACATATTACTTCAATGACATATATCCAGTAATTCATTTATACATTTCAGTTAACAAACAAGTTAACAGTTCACCTGATGAACAAGTAGTTATAGTGTAGTCCATGGATGTCTGCAATCAAGTTCAAACCTACAAGGCTCCAGATGTGTTGTCACATCTGAGGACTGAAACGGTACGACTCAGAGCCTGTTATAATAATAGTAGTCCAGTGTATGCAATGATGCATTGTTGATCGGCGGCAGAAATAGATAAGGGGGTTCTCAGTTTTTATCCAGTTGGTTAAGAAAAAACTATTTTAGAGTTAGGATCCTAATAATTTTCATAGTGTTATTTGCTGTACATTATAAATTACGTATCAGTTTAAAATTTATTTAGATCTTTACAATCTCAACATTACAATAAAATAGAAACCCTATGACGAACGTGATACAATGTGTCTTGGATATCAAAAATTTATTTTTAACTACAGACTCATTCTGGCTTCGTCTAGTTGGAATTTAGAAAGACTATTTATGTTGTCAGTTTTACGAATTCACAAAAAACTTTTTCCAGATGAAATGTAGGCTAGATCACTCTATCTCTTTTTGAAGTTTTATTACAATTGAACTACTGAGTAGCTTGTCTGTGTGCGCTGATCTTCGGAACAGCTACACCAACTGTAAGGAAACTTGATGAGCAGGCCGGGAGTAATACCAAAAGACATCTAGGTCGTTGAAATGAAGTCTTTGGTAATTATCGCAAATCTAAATAATGCGACATTAGTAGATCCAATTCAGGCGTAATGAGTGACTGTAGACTCAAAATTCATTGTACTTTGAACAGTTAATAATATGTAAGTTGTAATTAATACAAGTGGTGTTGTATACCAGAGCGGCGGCGCGAGCGGCGAGAGTTACGCGTACAGCGGGGAGGCGGGCGGAGGCGCGGGCGGGGCGGGCGGCGGTTCGGCGGGCGGCGCGGCCGGCCAGCGGCGCCAGCCCGGCGCGCTCGCCGCCGCCCGCGCCTGCCTACCTACCGCCCGCCGCGCACTACCACCACCACAATCACCATGCGCACCCCGCGCATCCCACGCATCCCACGCATCCCTCGCACCCCTCGCACGGTGAGCTCAATTTGTTTAGCACAAGTTATCAGTTCAGATCGACATAGAGAGAAGAACGAAGTATTGCGTACATTTGAAGTGACGCCCTAACCAATTCAATAAAAGTCTACTGCTGAACTTGGACCTCCACCATAGATTGCCTCATATCGTGGATTTTGACAGGTGGGTGTGCAACCGCAGTTTTAATATAATTTTGGTAATCAGAGAGGTGATGCTGCCCACCTTCTTTTTCGATTTCCCTCTGCTGCCTGCTATGTACCGTGATATATGGGGTATATATTTGAACACAGTAAAAATTAATCAAAATTTGACTAGTGTAAAATGATATAATAAGAAGCATTTTTATCACTGGTACCAAATTTTTGATGTTCAGTATTAAATATGCTCTTTTCATCTATCATTGCCTGAACATAAAGAATAAAAATTTTTTTTCAATTAATATAATTTGGTATAGAGAGGTGATGCTGCCCACCTTCTTTTTCGATTTCCCTCTGCTGCCTGCTATGATACCCATCGGTCGATATATGGGGTACTGGATATTCTCGCAACACAGTAAAAATTAATCAAAATTTAGACTACGCGTGTAAAATGATATCAATACAAGCAAGCATTTTTAATCAACAAAAATGGTACCAAATTTTTGATGTTCAGTATTAAATATGCTCTTTGTCATCTATCATTGCCTGAACATAAAGAACAAAAATATAATATTATTTTGTAATATTATTGCATTTGTTTGTAGAGGGTGATGGTGTGGTTGCAGGCATGTGGTCGTGGCAGGGCGGTGCGGGCGTTGCGGGGGTGGCGGGCGCCGCCGGCGAGGCCGCGCACGCTCCACACGAACTCTCCGACATGCTGCAAATCCTCGACCAAGGCGCACAAGCCACTTTTGAAGACCTCAACATCAATATGTTCAACTCGAATTTTGAATAGCACCTACACGCTCTATGTATGACACATAAACAAAAAAAATATTGTACATATATTTTCAATTTTTTAAATCTGGAAATTTTTACTGTCCTAGCCACACTTACTTTGAATAGAATTTTTATAATTCTGAAAGATAATTTTCATGCATGTAAAAATTTGTATTTACACTATTCTATGGATTAGTGAATATGGCATTGGCAGTATTGTCTCATAAAATGTACATGAGTTCTTTAAACAAAGAAAACAGCAAAAAGGCTAAAGACGGCTTTTTATTTCATAAAAACTTTAATAAAAAATATCTGTTATTGGATTTACTTTTATTGGTCCTCTAAACAATTTATAAAAACAACACAAATTCTGCTTATTATTTTTGTTGTCTTCTTTTTTTGTTATAGGAAATTGTCTTGGTAATTCAGAATCTTGAAGCACTAAACGGCCTACGTGTGTTTAAAAATTAACGCACTGATTAAACTTGGTTTTGTATCTTTGGATATGTTTCCAAAAACATTCCACCGTGAAATTTGTTACAAATGAAGTGCACTGTATAGGTTAATATTGTAATTTTAGTCTGTATTAATAAAACATCTAGTATTAGCATGTGATTTTTGACAATTATTGTTTTAAATCTGATTATTTTTTTATTTTCAAGTTTATTTTAAATTTATTAATATTTTTATGTATGTAAGTAATGCATTTACGAATATGTTTCTTTATAATAAATTTATTATTTGTATTCAATCAAAATTAGGTATATCTCAATTTTGTAAAAGATTTTTCATTAAATTTAAGCAACATGATCTTTATTACATTTTTATTCATTTCCTTAAATCCACGGATTCATCGTCCGTGATTAAACGATGATCGCTTGCATCAACAATTGTAGTTACTTAATTTAACAAAGGCATAACATAATAAGCCAGCGTTATTCCAATAAATGGGCTATTTATGATTTTTTTTCTTGATGTGTGACATGTATAGTTTTAATTTCTATGTACTTTCACTTTTAATTCAATTAAAGATAAGGCCAAATCTGGTGCAATTGTCTCCTTTAAACGGTTTTAAAAAAATCTGCAAAAATAAAATGCTTCACATTGAACTACAGTGAGGTATTTGATCCTTTTCTATATTTGGTGAAAATCTTCGGAGCAAATTTGTATTGGATTGCATTCCAGAGTGGTGGACAACTGTTAAAGTTATATTTATACTTAAAACTGATTTGAAGGATTATACTTGGTTTAAGTCCTTAAGACTACTGACTGATAAGCTTAAGCTGACAAAGTTATATATACAGATAATATATGGGACGAAACTTTAGTTATGATGCCCTTACATTACAACCCCACCGCACCACAAAGGTAAACTTACGGAGACCCGGAATAGCTGTTTCAATTCACATTATTCATGTTTAGCACAATGACCCTTTTAGCACCCCTTAAGCAATTTTGTATAGGATTTACGCTCAGAACAGATTTAGCGTGCAATCAGATCCTTACTTGACTCAGTGCAGGAAACACCGGCTATATGCACAATGTTGGGTGTCATTGATTATAAAATTTTCACAGTCAGCTCTAACTGCAGAGGAAATTGCTGAGAAGAATGTATAAAGGACTTAATTAAAAATGTCGATAGCTTTATGTGGTTTCCCGAGGATTTATCGAACCATAAGCCCAAACCAGAGGTTCGCTTTGGAATTTACGAGAAATTACCCTTTAACCTTTTGAGCGCCAAAGTCGCCTATACTTGACCAGCACCTGCGGGCCCTGAACGCCAACGACGTCTATACAATAGTATAGTGACAAAAAACCCGGCCCACAAAAATATGAAATATAGATATTTGAAAATTATTACTGGTATTTTAATTCTACACTCCTCAAAAAAGAATAACCCACCAACATGTGAGTATAAAAAACAAATCTCCTAGAGCCACAAGTACTAAGAAACATAAACTAAAAAAAATGGATTTTTATCTAAGCAAATACTATCCAGCACATTGAGCTATTATGTACTACGTACTAGAGGCGACACTGCATTCAGCTACTCTGTTCCATTCAACTGCGGTGCATACACCGCACTTTAATCAGTCACGCGCTAGGCGCTTGTAGAGTTGTCACGTGTTGTGTTGATTTTAAAAAAATCTGATAAAAATATGCCGTCGTGTGTACGTAGATATTGCACAAATAATTCAAGAAATGTCAGTAAAAACCAAGGAATTACTTTTCATCGGTTAATAAGATACTTAATCAAAAAAAGTATTATAGATTAATAATAAGACGCCATCTCGTGTCATGGAATATAGATTACGAAATTAATATGTTCAGACATTTCTGTGGGTACTTAAGTATAGGACGAATATATTATTATACACATTTTTTTGTAGAAACATATATAAGTTATAATAATTGCTCTAAATTTTTCATGTTAAAATCTGCTTATTATTCTTTTATTTTATTTTTAGGTTTCCACTTCAAAGTCAAAGTGGAACAAATTCGTCCATTTATAACTCTCGCGTGCGCAGCATTTATATGATATGTATTTAGATGACTTATTCTAATTTAAATAAAATTTGTAATTTAAATGTTATGTTAATAAGTTTTGTTAAACTTACATTTAGTATGTTTTTTTTTTACATTTGACATAGATACCTTTTAAAATATTCAGATAAAAATATCATTTAAATGTAATTGTGATATAATATTATGTAATATTATATTAAATAAGCAAATATAATATACAAAATAAATAACAAAATTTAAATATTGTTCTCGATATAATGCCTATTTAACATTACAATCTACTATTACCTACTGATCATTCTAGCTATGTTTATTCTATGATAAAAAAACCAACCACGCGAACACAGAGTAGCGCACATTTTTTGTTTGAGATAGCTGTTCTAGTACGTAAGTACATATTACTTCAATGGTCCAGCACGCCAAAGTCGTCTATGATTGACCGCTAATGTCGAACGCGGGAGGCATAGATATGTTGAAAATTATCCAAAATTCAGCTCAAACGTTTTTTTTTTTCTATTATTATTGATATTTAAATAAAACAAAAGGTTAGAAACATAAAACTATAATTAGCTACATGAATAAAAAATGTTATCAAATCATCTTCGCATAATAAATCTAATATCTCAACTCTAGCGAATCCTTAGCGCGTCATCGAATATTTATTCACTGGGCGGCATGGTCAAGGATAGACGACACCCTGATGACGTCATAAGTGATTAGCGGGAAAAGTAGTGCAGTGCAACAGAACGATTCCTCAGAACTCATTCGCATTTTAGAAAGCGTCGATGATGATGATTTTTTTTTATTTTAATAATATAAAATTACAAATAATAAATGGTTTTTACTTAAGATATGAAAAGCAAATTTTTATTTTGTGTTGTGCGATTTTATTTCTCAATCTCAAAATCATCTGGTAGCATCAGCATCATATCAAATCCCCATTGTCATAAGAGAGTAAGACTCTTCTACTGTGCTTCACTTGGCGCACGCCTCCCCCGACACATAGAATATTTTGAGTCGATCTCTGTATATTTTGGTTAAATCCATTTCGAAATCGATACACAACGTGCGACACGGCTACATCTCTTTAAGAAAGTTTCAAAGAGGAAGGTCAACTACGCCGTTATCGTCCAGGCGTGACAGTGACGTCATCACGATGGAGAGTAGTGCTGTGGTTTACTAAAGTCCAGTCGCGGAGCAGGAAGAATTTCGTATAATGACCACTGTGTCTACACAGAGGAGACAGGACAGAGGACACAAATATTTTTGTGTTAAGTGTGGTTTATATGAAATATTTGAAGGTTAAAAAAATAAATTTGTTATCCTCCATCCATATACATTATTGGTATAATATATTTTTTATTTTAGTATAAAAACAGTTATAAAATCGAGTTAAAATTGCTAATTTGGCAGAAATAAAAAAAATGAAAATACAAAAATCTGAATCTGATTTCTCTATATCGGAGTTACTGCTTTCTGATGACGTCCCATCTGACACATTTATTACATAAGAATCAAAATTAAAAAAATTAACAATTAAAAAAGGAATAACGAAAA